GTTGTTGATTCATCGTAAGGTTACCGACATTCTTTGCTTGGCATGTTTTAGAATCCGCGTATGTTTTCTTTGAGTTTTGGCGCGGTTCATTTCTTTGTTTCGAGTTTAGATGATAACACTCTGATCTAAAATGGCTATTTTTATGACAATACGAGCAAAACTTTTCTCTCTTTGTCTTGTTTTTAAATGAGGCTTTAAATGCCTTTGAATCTGATGAATTATTTTCAACTCTCTTGTTAAATTCGTCAATTAATTTCCCTTTTAAGAATTTGGATTCAGTTCCGATTCTGCTCTGGCTTCAAGAGCCGTAATGAGCATATCGTAAGAACTCGGCATTGAACAAAGCAAAAGTGCTGAAATGTGTTTGTCTTTTATGTTTTCACCTATTGATTTGAGTTTATCGACTAACTCCAGTAATGTATTTTCAGTGTCTCACAAAAGTCATGGGACACTTGTGCTTTACAAAAGGAAACTGTACTAACATAAATTAAGAAAACATGTAAAAATTTTTTGTGGGTGTGTTTCATACTTAAATTTAGTAACAATTATTACATAATATACATTTTTTCAAAATATTAAAATATTAATTTAATAAAAATATAATTGTTTAGAACAGAGCAAAAAATGGCTCACATAAGTGATGGGACACTTACTTTTCCATCAAATATTTATCCAAAAATTTTACTTTTTAAAAGGTTTTAATATTTTGTTGGATTTCCTTTTACTTTTAAAACATGATTTAATCTTCTTGGAATGGATTCGACTAATTTTTTTGTGATTTCTGGAGTGATTTTACCCCATTCTTCTTGAAGCAATGATTTTAATTGTTGTTTTGAAGAAATGGTGTGTTTGCGAATTCTTGATTCCAATTCTTTGCCAAATATTCTCTATGGGATTTAAGTCTGGAGATTGTGGTGGTGTTTTTATTATTTCAGGACAGTTATACAGCAGCCAGAAGTCTAACGTTCAAAGCAGTGTGCTTGGGGTCATTGTCCCTGGTAGAATTTAAAATCGTTATGATGGTTCAATTTTCGTGCTGAAGATTTCAAATTTTGATTTAAAATGTTAACATACTTGTACCGATCCATTATACTGTCAATAAAAACAAGATTACCAACTCCAGCGGATGACATACACCCCCATACCATAACTCCTCCTCCACCATGTTTTACTGTTGGCACCAAGTTCTGTTTGCGAAATTCTTCCCTGGGTTTTCTCCACACCAAGATTCTACCGTCAGAACCAAATATATTAAATTTACTCTCATCAGCAAATATAACTTCATTCCAGTAATCAGAATTCTTAATTATGTTGGATTTTGCGAAAGCCAGTCTGAGTTTTCTATTCTTTTCACTTACGAAGAATTTTTTCTTGGCTGCTCTACCGTGATATCCAGTAGATCGAATTACTCTTCTAATAGTCTCAGAATTAACAATTACTCCATATAATGCTTGTAAATCAGCAGCAACTTTAGGAGCACTCATTCTTGGATTTTTTTTAAATATTTCGAACAATAATTCACTTTATTCCATTAGATAGCTTTGATGGTCGGCCAGGTCTTCTTTTATCCTGAATCATATGATTCTTTTTATATCGTTTATGATCTTGTAAACTGTTGAATGACTCAAGTTAACTGTTTCAGCAGTTTTTCTTATAGATTTTCCACGTTCAATATGCAAATAATAACTAAATTTCAAACTTCAGGCAAAGTTTCTTTTCGTTTAGCATTCATGGCTGCACAGATCTAAAAAACACAAAAATTCCAAAACAAACTGGAGAGAAATACTGCAGACAATTTTATAAATTATTGGCAATTGCTTTTGAGTAAAAAAAGAAACCCCCAAAATATTTTTATTATAGTACGTAATAGTATCTAATGGTGTCCCATCACTTATGTGAGCCATTCTTTGCTCCGTTCTAAACAGTTGTATTTTTATTAAATTAATATTTTAATATTTTGAAAAAATGTATGTTATGTAATAATTGTTACTAAATTTAAGTATGAAACACATCCACAAAAAATGTTTACATGTTTTTTTTAATTTATTTTATTCCAGTTTCCTTTTGTACAACACAAGTGTCCCATCACTTTTGTGAGACACTGTATATGTGTTTGCATATTTCCGTCTTCTTCGAGCTTTAAACTGTAAAGCTTTCGCAAAAGAAATAGTTTACTTGAAAGATTAGACCTTTTATGTACCTGCCTGAGCTTTTCCCAGGTGGCTTTAGCAGTAGTTTCATGTTTAATGTGAATTATTTGGCTGTCTTCGATAAATAAATTTATCATCACACGACATTGTCGATCCCGTTTACTCCATTGTTCTGTAATGAGGCTTGGAGGTACATCTTCGATTACATCGTAAAGATCCTCCTTTATTAGTAGCATTTGCATTTTTGAATTTCCATGTTGAGTAATTCAGTTTTGCAATTTGCATTTGACTTGAATTCAACATTTTTGTATTGTCGAAAAATTTATTTTCGATTTTAATATGAAACTACAATTTAGCTTTTACAGTTTTTTTTATTATTATTTAATTAAGCTATCATCAGAACTCGTAATCTTTTGTCGTAAAACATTTTTATAGCCTCGAAATTTCACAACAAATTAATAAAAATAGGGAGCAAAATGATTCTTCTTACCTTGTATCCAGTGCAGCATCAAGCGAGATCATACCTAATTATTTTGTAATCCAAAAATAGGTGTAGACGGAAATTGTAAGATCACAAAACACATTCTTTATTAATACATGAAAAATAGATAAAAATTCGTTAGTATTCCAAATATATATATTTGAAAAAGGAGTTATATTATAGAGAGTGTCGTATCAGTGTCCTTTCCTGAAGGTGTGAGAAAAGTAAGTGTAAAAAATAAGAGAGTTACACAGTTAACTCTTTTGCAGGGTTTCCAGTTCATACAGTTTATCGTGCTATTGGCGACAGTCCATCACTATATGCATACCAACAACATCGACCTATTTTCACTTTAAATAAACCTCAGAAAATTGTACAAACTCGGCATTATGCACTTCCTTGACTTTGTCCATGTGCACATCAATCTATTTTCACTTAAAAAGTCAAAGGAGCACCCAGTTCTATGCTGGGCACCAGTTCTATGCTGAGCAGAACAAAAGTATATAATCTCGGTAAACTACATTTTAAATTAAACGATGAGATAACATAAAGGAAATTCATCTTATACAATCTAAGCACTATACAAAGGGAATATCGATTTACCCTATGTAGAAATTTCTGTGTCTTCAGTCTGTGGCACACAAAATTCCTTAACAACATCCAAAAACTTTCCTCAGACCATGTTCCCTTTCTAACCTTTCTTGCGACAAAGCCATCTTAACAGTCTTTACATTCGGCCATATGCATTTCCATCATATAAACAGGACGCTTATAATTCCTCTGAATTACACCCAACAAAGTTTCTTTTCTCTGTCCTCTCTACTCTCGTTCTATACCACGAAACATTCTAATTTACCACTGGCAGCCATTTTACGATGCAAAAACATATATTTTCCCATTCACCACAATCACATAACCAATTACCTCATAATTGGGTTTCCATAACATTCAACTACTCAGGTTACCATAACATTCAACTACTCGGGTTACCATAAATGAAACAACAACTTAGCGATGATCCAGGGGGCACCCTTAAAACTCTTAAATATACTATAACCGAATGATGAATCTGTGAGGCTGGAAAACAGCATCTTTCCTTTTTTTTTTATAAATTTCTGTCAGCTGAAACAACATCTCTTTTTCACAAATCCATCCTTTTTTTTTGCTGCAAATAATGACCCCTTCAGGGAGGTTCCCTTTTACAACTGTTTTTCTTTTAAAAGGTGCAACTGCTTTACATTGATGGCACAATCCAAAACACAAGTAAAAGAATTATTTCCGTTCCCAGTTGTTAACACAGAAATATTATTTTTACCTGATGAATAAACAGTCAAAAGTAATGGTCACTTCATCCATATCTAGTTATTTGCCCTCTATTTAAGATTTGTGGATGTGTACTCCAAAAAAAGCTGTCATTTCTTGAAGCCATGGGAAGCTTCCGTCCACACTTTGTCAAAGCTTCTGTCCTGAAAGAAAAAAAATTTTTTTTTTGTTTGTTTGTTTCCATCAGTTCTACAACAATTCAGTTAGGTCTTCCAACTGTTTTAATGCCTACTGAACAATTACTTTTGCTTGAAGACAGATCTGACTGTTGAGACTGATAATCTCTTTTCTTTCTGTTCTCTTGTCCATTTCTTTGTTGTCTTCCGAAGCGAGCCAGGCTATGACACCTTCCAACAAGATCTTTTCTTATGTATTTTCTCTAATTCTTCTTGTTTGGTCTTTTACTGGCTCTCTTGTGAACTTGAAATTCTCTAACCACAGGCTGATTTCCAATTTCTGTCCCTTTCTTCACTGCTGAAAGCTTAAAAGTAGCTGTATAACTTTTTCTTCGAGCCATAATAATAATAATTTTAAAAATTCAAATTGTGATTGATAAAGTAAGCACTGCAATAATATACAGCACTGAGGAACATGTGAGAATGAACACAGAACTTGGTGAAATAAAAGGTCTCTGACTATTAAAGAGAAAATAGTCATAGTAGATGTAGACAAAATCACAGAATTGAGCCAAAAGTATATGCACTACAGTATCTTTACACTAAACAAATCCTACCATAGTTAGGTGAGTTTTACACAAGTTTGAATGTATTGCACTGCCTTAATACAAACTAAGCATTTGTATGAAACCAAAGTGTTCCAGCAAATTCCACATTAATTGTTTCACATGTTAATAACCTACAATCTAAGCTACCAAATTTCTAAAGACAGCAGAAAAATAAAATTCCTTATAATACTCCACCTCAGCAGCTATGCTGCAGACCTAAATTTTCAACTTTTAAATATGTATAAGCCACAGCTTATCTACCTGAAATTACAATGCTAATTTAAAGCACTGACATTTAAGTTGTAATGAAAATATTTTTTAGTTAGTTACTATAAAAATGGCAGTTCAACAACGTAAATCTGGAAATAAGAAAAAGAGTGTGGATGTTAAGGAAGAGTCAAGTAATGCGGCAAATAGTGGGAAAAGAGAATTATCTCAGTCTCAGTAAGTGCATTTTTTCCCCCTTCTATTTTTATAGTTTGCGTTGATACTTGAAATTATAAATTTTCTGATATGTTTTAAAAAATGTAAGAGTGAGTGAATATTCATTTAAATAAAACTTTCTTTTCTAAATATTATAAATAATAAAGGTATAACTAATAAATAAATTAATCTTTATCTCTCAGTTATTTGAAATCATCATCTCCCTGCCCCCAGACAAGTTTTTTTGGTACTATTCCATTTTGAGGACCGTAAAAAATCGCCAAACTATTGTTGAGCCAGTGCTGCCAAAAATAATTGCGGCTACCCTAACGCAAGAAAGGAAGTATAATAGTAAATAACTATCTAAAGATTATTGTTGTAATTTATATGAAAGGTTAATTTCATATAATGCTTTTTTTTATTATTATTATAATTTATATAAAAATTCATAACTGAATGGAAGCATAAGAGTAAATAGCTATTTCAGGTTATTATTATAATTTATATAAAGAAAAGGCTAAACATAAATGAATGGATTCCTGCTTCGCTATTTCGCTAGTTATCGCTAAAGCATAATTTCATCTCGGTTGTTTGCCCACCTGCGGCCGAGCGGTAAAGTTGCTGAACACTGGTAGTTCGGTCCGAGGTTCGAATCCCGCGAACGGGCTGGCTGCATGGGCGTTTTTGTGATTTTCCCCATGTGTAATGTGTATACGAGCCAGTTTCCCTTAAAAAGTCCTCCACGAAGGCATCCCTTCCCTTAGGCAGATAGCCCTAGTGTGCTTTGCCGTAATTTCAATAATAAACCAAACTAAATGTTGGTTGTTCAAACATAATTTTCTGTAATGAATGATGCCTTTTCTTTGAAAAAATTCTATTGCAAACTTTTCGTCATGGGCAATTCCCAAATTGTTAAATCCATAGGATATCAAAAAAGGATTTAAAAATTAAACTAGTATTTCAATGGTGTCTTAAGAAATGTAGAACTATCTAAACTTACACAATCTAAAATCAGCGCGTACGCTAGATTTGGCGCTTTTGCGCGTACATTTTCGCTGCAATTTTTTTCGGTCCTCAAAACGGAATAGTACCGTTTTTTTACTCCATGTATCTTTCACCTTTTATTAGTTTCCTGTCATATTAAATGGTGCCCTTGAATAATAATAATAATAATAATGATTTGAGAAAAACTGGATACTTATATATTAACATAACCACCCTGGTGTAATTTAATGATTTTCTACTAATGAAAAAGAATGATGATGAGTCATCATTTAATTGATGACTCCCGCAGAGCAGCGTGAAATTGATAAACAGATTTCGGAATGGTTAGAGAAACAAAGGATATGCCTTTATCCATTTTTTTCAGCAATTCCACTTTTTGTTTGATGAACATCGAAACAGGCTTTCACTTTGTAGATCCTTTGGCAGCTCCAGAATCGGAAATTCTTTTTGACATAAACGAAAGTTCAAGCTTACTTTTATAAAATTGCTCTAACAGTCTGCAAAAAATAATAAGCCGGATCCAATTAGAAGATTAAGGAATAACGCAATCTACAACATTAACTGAAATAGATAATTATATAATTTTAGCTTAGCTTATGCCGTTCGTTATACATTAAACACGCATGCATAAACACATAATGCACATGCGTAGAAAGTTTGTAGCTTTGAGGTCCGGATTATAGAACATTCCGGATTATGGACGTCCGGATTAAAGACTTTTGACTGTATTATTAACATCCTTCACCAAGAATAAATAAATTGTAGCTGTAATAGTAAATAAACTAACTTATTCTATTTTTATCCTTATTGTGCCTGTGCTTTTCAATCTACAGTGATATGTTATTTCATTATGTGTAGATTAGAACACTTATAGCAAAATATTTATTATCTCCGTTAATCTTTGGATTATGGTAACTTGGCGAAAATTTTGCAACCAACCCTGCTACAGCAACCTGCTAGTTTTGTTTTGGACGCCATTTTGTTTTCACGAAGTAAAGGCATTTTTTTTTTTTTTTTTTACTCAACAATTTTTCCAATAATCTGCTAACCGAATTACACTTATACTAGAACTTTTATGGAACAAAAATGCTTAATCATGACGAAGATTAGGTGCAAAATTGGGAGAAAGTGCAGAATCGCCCACTGCTTGGCACGTTTTTAAGAATTGCACATACAGGGTATCCATGTACACGTTGACCTATTTTCATTTAAAAAAACATCCCAGAATTGCACAAAAATGGCATTGTGCACACTCTTGACTTTATCCATGTACACTACTAAATTCCTAGCTAGTAACTTTTATCGCCTTACCAAAATGTCCCCAAACTACCTATTACCATATTCCAAAGATTAGCCATTATCTCTTTTCAGTTAACCAAAAAATTTGTTTGATTGGATGTCAAATTAATATTTACTGTAATTTGGTCCAACAGTTTTTAGATTTTTTTTTTTTATGTTTCCTCGAAGGAAAAGTCTGAAAGTAGATTTATGCATTTTAAATTTTTTTCACTAATTTTTCTTAATGTTACTGCCTTAAGAATATTTTCATCATTCACTATATGAAGGAATAAGGAAAACTCTGCCAATTATATTCCAGTTCAAGTCTGCTTTGTTTTATATTGCATATGGAATGAGATTGTCTAGTTATAAAAATATCATAATGAAATAATTTTTCTTCCAGAAAAATACAAGGGGATGCTTCAGGATTTAAAATGCCATGGACAAAAATAGCATCTCGCTTTTTACTGTCAATGTTAATGATTTTTGCTGTTTACTGGACTTCTAAAAAAGACACCATGCATGTTTTTGCTAGTCAAAAACAAAGATTGCAGCTGACATCAGCTGAAGTGTCTTGCTCTTCAGACTATCTGAAAGATGTTTCAAAATTTAAAGGTGAGTATAATTTATAAAGAAAACTGCATTATGATTTGAAGTGCAACTGAATTTCCTTTATTAATTTATATTATTTTTTGCTTTTATAACACTCAATAGAAAAAACTGTGGTCAGTGTATAATTTTTTTTATCCCTCCCTCTTGTGCCACATTTTTCATATTCAGTGGAACCTTGGATCATGAACAAGTCTGTTCAAAAGTAAATTTTTAAATGAAAAATGTCTTGGAGGAAGGATATAGTTTGGCTTGAGATAAAAAGCTTTATAGAACATTATCACCCTGACTAAGCAGTAGTAAGCTGTAGCATAAATATTTGTGATGATAATGTCATATCTCAATAAGGAACATTTTAAAATGTAGACAGAAACAAATCACATTTGTCGTGACAATTCATGGGTCAAGGGCTTATCGATTCTCAAGTAAAAAGCTGAGCAGTATTAAGAAAAAGAAAAAGAGGAGAAAGCCCGCTAAAAAGGTAGCAGCTACCTGATACTTTTATGGAATAATAGTGATTTTTCAAACAATAACATTTTGCACTTTTGGCTTTTCCGAATTTTCTGGGTATGTCCCCAGCTTTCGTTCGATATAGTAAAATTTAATTCAAATTTTCTTATTTTCTATATTTTTAGTACTGTGTTAAATATTGTGAATGTATTAGATTTAATGAATTCTGTTGGTTTTGTGTAATGAACTTGCATACAGAGTACTCTTTTTTTATTATTATTTTAAGCAATTGCTCAGGATCCAGAAATAGGTGAATTAGTTTTACGTTAAATCCTGTGGGAAAAATTGCTTTGGTTTGCAAATATTTTGGATCACAAATTATCTTCAGGCACATGTTAAATTTTCAAACCAAGGTTTCACTGTATCAAATTTTATTTTTAATTACAAAAGAAATTCAGTAATCATCATTTTAATTATGTTTCCATTAATATAATTTAAGAGCTAATACAGTGTTGTTAATAATCATTTCATAGATTAAATAAATGCAGATACATGGGAAATTTTTGATACAAAGAATATGTCATAATTTGAAAAAGACCCAGAAAATAATGTTAGACTAAAAAAGAATGCTAAAGGTATAAAATAACTACTTATGTGTTAAATTCAAGGTATGCAGATCAGCTTCAAAAATTTTTTTTAAAAATCTTTTGACGTTTTATCAGAATTAACACTAAATAAAGATTGAATTTTATTAATTTTCCAACTTAAATATTTTATTTCATTATTTAGTACTTCTTTGTTATACCAACCCCAAACCATATTTGGTGATTTTAGATTTGTGCCAAGATCTCCGCTGTAATTTCACCGAGCTTATGAAACGCAGATGTAAAAATAAATAACACAATGTATAAAAATTATGATTTGACACATGTCATTTACTAAGAATGTTTTAAAGACTCCTTATTCTTCTTCTTATTTTTTATTGCATTTAATTGTTCTAGTCAAATGCAGGACTTCCTGCAAACTAAACTGTTTGTTTTGTTACCCAATTTCATGGAGGTCATCTTCTCTGCCCAAGAATACATAAATCTAATAGCAGTGACAAACAATATCCTGGAACTGATAAACCCATTTCTAACACAGAGGTCCTTCTTTTTACAGTTTTTAACACTGCACCTCCAACTGGGGTCATCATTAACATAAAGTTTCGTGTTGTGGCCATTTTCACATACTTGTTTGTCAGGTAAAAAAACTCTCATGAAAAAATAATATGGCATCCACTTCATTACTTAGTAAATTAAAGATTGTTAACGTCCTATTCTGAAAAAAGAAAAAGAAAAAAAGTAGTGAATATATTTTTAAGTAAACAATGCAAAGTCGAAAATCTCGTCAGAAATGAATAATATAAGAATGCGCAGCAAGATCAAAAATGCGATTATGTGCTGCGGTATAAAAACATGCAGCTGGTGCTAGTATATCACATGATGAGATATAAGCACACACAGCCAGATTTTAGCGAGATATCTTGGTTGATGAGCGATTCAATCTCAGGGTCTGTATAACCAAGAAGTATGCATTATTTTCAGTATTTTATTCTACCTGTGCTCCAGGTATGTTGTATTCAGATGCTCCTGGTATGTTGTATTCAGTCAACCCTTTGATGCGCGTTATATTATTTAAAATTTTTTTTAACTAAAAACACTAGAAATCGAATATTATGATCCTAGAGACAAATAATATACGAATTAAAAAAAATCTTCTCCCGCCTATTAATCTGTAGGTGGCGGTTTCGCTGTGAAACCAGCGCGCGTCTAGGACTTTGAAACTTACTGAGTTAGTAAGAAAAAACAACTTACCTTTTTCCGTACGCCTTTCCAATGAATGACGAAATTTACGAATAAAAAAAAAAAAAAAAAAAACTGCATTTAAAAATTGCATCAAATGTAAATTTTTTACTTTATATTACAATCATCAGAAAAAAAATTATAATTTATGTAATTTTTCTGCAGCAGTGAAAACATAAGAACGTACAGAATAAGGAAATTGGGATAAATAGATGGATAAAAGCCATAAATATATTCGTGGGTTTTGCATCTTCCATAGAGGTAATTTCGTCAGTTGAGTCATATTCCTCAGAAAATTCGGGAATGGATTTCACTACATTCTGCATTTTATTCCATGTTACATCTGCAATTCTGGAAAGACCTGGTAAATTTATATCATCATTTTCTGACTGATCATCACTTTCATCTTCTATATTTCCATAAGCAGGAGGGAAGGGGGTAAAGGAGTATTTCCTTCTACTTCACTTTCATCCTCAGAGACCACTGATTCTGGATCTGAAGGTAATTCTTCAAGTAACGCTAATGCATCAGCTATTTTTAACCCTTTGCGAGGCATTTTGAATCTCAACAGTAGAAAATAAAATATTGGCAAAATATTTTAAATTTAATTAAATTTTTGCACGATTTCTATTTTTAATTATTCAAAAATATATTTACAATTTTTTGGAACCACACAAAATAATTTAGAAAATCACAGTACTAGCATAGAGAGCAAGCATGTTGAAAGCAGAGAGCAATCTCTGGAACGAAAAATATTTTATGGGGGGCAGGTGCATGTATTGTTTGGTAATACAATAACTCTGAGATTTCAAAACCCCTTATCTATATCTGGGTGAAAATAAAGACTTCTATTTCAAAGCAGCAAACATTACTATAAAGAGCAGTGGTTTCAGGGCATGACCACCGAGCCTCTAGGGAAATGTGAGCATTGTAACGTAATGCTCTAGTGGGGCAGTGGTCGCGCCCTGAAACCACAAAGGAAATACCATAAATATACACAGGTTGTTTATATATGCAGTTTTTGCTGTATTTTTATTGTTTATGATAGAAATAATGATGTGCGATAAAAATTTTTAAATTTTAAGTTATTAATATAAATAAAAGGAAGTTATTTTGTCTCACTGAAAATGAATTTTAAAAGGCATATCCGATTTAAAATACTAAGACCTAAAAAATGTATAGTTCTGCAGTAATTTCGCGTTATTTAGAGGTAAAAGATAAGTAATCAATCGGTTTTCACTCAAACAGTTTGGAAACAAGAGCGGAAAAAATTTCGAAAATTGGTGGTTTCAGGGCACGACCACCACCCCTCAAAGGGTTAAGTCAATTTTTATATTTCATCCCCATTCTGATCTTTATCTGATTTCTTTTTGTTATTTTGTTAATTAAGTATTTCTTGTATATTATTTCCAGGGTAGCATTTCGTAATAATTTTGTTTATGTGTGTTTAGAGCTCCTTGTTTTAATTTTGATATTTTTAAAATACAAATGCATGGATCTGTTGGTAATAAATAATTGTTTGTGCTTTTTTTTTTTTTTTTTCCCCTGCTTTTGTTTTTCTGCATTCTGTAACAAAATGTCTGAGTCTTTGAATTAAAGCACATTTTTTCATACTTTTCTCAAGTACCTGTTTGTTAAAAATTTGAAATTTCAGGCATAAATATTAAGAAAATAAAATAGTAGGTACTATAAAAAATTTGGTAAAATTTATTTTTTCAAAATATGATCTGAAGTAGGGGTTCTCAACCGGTGGTATACATACCACTGGTGGTACGCAAGTGAAATATAGGTGATGCGCAAAGGAAGAAAGTATTTTTAACTACTAAATTAAAAAATTAAAAACCTGACATCATGTTTTTTCTCTAACACTCATAAATTTATGTGATCTGAGCTTCATTCAAGGTCAATAGCCACTCATTCCGTTTTTATTTTCACAAATATTCTTTTAGCATAGAAAAGGATGTTGTATTCAATAGGAAATAAAAAGAAGTTTCTATAAAAAGATAATAGTATCTTATTAATTCTTTTAGAGTTGATTGATTTATTACCATGTCTGTACTTTATATGTCGCTGCCATTTCCAGGCTTATATTGCTTCATTTTCAATTAGAATCATACTTTTACGTCGATTTGCTGTCTCTAACAGCAGATATTAAGTGTTCTTGTTGCTTTGTATTCTTTACTTTTCTGTGGGATTTGAGAATATCATTGCTTAATTTTGATGAAACGTAATATCTTGTGCATTTAAATATTTGTGAAAAAAATAATAAAAACAAACCTTGATTTTCAAAAAAAAGGGGGGGGAGCTAGGATTGGCTAAGCGAAAAGTGAGGATTCACAGGTGATGAATCCTGGAGAATGTATTTAAGGTGACCAGATTTCGAAATTTGGGACGCTAGATATACATATATTTTTAAATAATTCTTTTTTTACAAATAAATTACTTATTATTATTGTTGTTATTGTAGGGGAGGTTTAATGTAGGTTAATATATACATAATAAATAGTTTTGTTTTATTTTTTAATATGTACATTTTTTTAATAAATAAAGAATGAATCAAAACTCAGTATTCATCTGTAAACAAAGTAATAAATTTGTAACTCTTCTAAATTAGTTTGATGAAGTAGCCTTTATTTCTCTGAAGCATGAATATTTCTTAGAACATCTTTTTCCTTTTTGTTATTCTTATAAAAGTCTGTACAGTTTCCATCA